GAACAAGAGGTAAAGAAATGTGAAGATTGTTTTAACAATCTTAAAAGACTTTCTGGCAGGTTGTACAGCTCTTTAGAGACTGGGACTCAGTCTGATTCAAGACTACTAAGACTCCGTTCTAATAATAATATTACTCTTATCATGTTTAGAGTTGGTAAAGACATTTTATAAAGGTTTATTGCAAACCAGCATCCCTTACGAGCTTTTGTTTGTTTAAAATAATAACAAAAAAAAACAATATACACTAAAAAAACTTATTCTTCATTATTTCTTTATAATTATGCTCCATGAATGAAGATATTTTATCCAAATGGYTGGTAACGGACTGCGAAAGCACATGATTACAAAATATACTATATTTTGTAATGACTTGCTTCCGTAATCCGTCACTTGATATCCTTTTAGTGATACTAATAACTGCGCATGTTCAATGGCACTGAAACTAAGTTATATTCCTTTCATTTCAGAAAGTAGAAGTGTGATGTCGTAAGAACAACTCGATCCACAGCTTGAAGAATAATCAAATACTTTATATAAATTAAATCTTTATATTACTATTGAAATAAATGTTATTTATTATTACTAGCTCTTCTTTATTGTGGTTGTAAACTTGGTAGGATCATTTCAGTCTTCGTTAAAACATAAAAATCGCAAAAAAGATAACGGCAAATATTGGCAATTCAAAAATAAAAGCACGTTCCGTAAGTTCCCCTTTCGAGAAACAAAATTCTATTGACTCTTGTAGACGGAGCCATGAGAGTCGAGAGTGTATTAATAAGACCTAAAAACAACTCAAAACAGGACGCAGTTTGTTCAAATCAAAATAGCTGAAATGAGGTTGGTTGATCGGTCGAGGTTTGTTCTAAAGTCGCAACAACAACAACAACAACAACAACAACAACAACAACAACAACAAAAACAGAATCACAAAAAAAACACAGAATCCCAACAAATTTCAAAATTTCGAGATCATAATGAAATTATATTTTTTCGCTATAACAGACTTCTGAAGCTTTAACGTTAAATACTCGATTTGTAATACACTGTGCGACCTGTTTCTTGACAAACGAGAAATCAGTCATCAAACATTCAAAACGGTGCATTGCTCGTCGATTGGCTGATTTCATGAGAATAGCTATGGTTTATTTCGCAGTTGATTCAGCCTGCTGTCTTGAAAGACTTTTGAGTCTAAATGGCGGACGCCGGCTATTAGATAAAAGCAATAAACGATAGCTTGAAGCTTTTTACTGGCGAAATAAACCGCTTGGGATGATTGGAAGAACACTCGAAAAAGGAAAATCACTRGCCATCTTTTTTCGTGTTCTCCCAACCATCCCGCGCGGTTTATTTCGCTAGTAAACCACTTCAAGSTATCGTTTATTGCTTAATGACACTGGAAAAAATCGCGCGCTTCAAAGGTTGTAAATTTGATGTAAATATGATGTAGGTGTCCAAAATTCTGTAAATCTGATGTAAATGATTTCCATTAAATTTACAGAATTTTGGACACTTACATCATATTTACATCAAATTTACAACCTTTAAAGCGCGATTTTTTTTTTGAGAGGTTTAGCATGACGTTCACGGCAAACGGCAAACGGCAGAAAAGATCACGTGACCTGCTTTTTTTGAGTTTAACGTTGCAGTATCAACGCGAGAGCGGGTTATTTTGAGGTTGCCATAATCGTGAAAAGCCGCTCTTTCAAATGACTACCAAAAGCACAAGGTCAGGCACGAAATTCTTAGGTCATTGGTTCAGCTCTGCCGTTAGCCGTTTGCCGTCAACGTGATGCTAAAACTCTCTACAGTAGTGTGATGTCAAAGGTTCAGAGGTCTATATATGTGACTCACTTTATTCTGACTCCAATAGATCGTCTGAATGCTTGCGTYAGAGCCTCTGTCTTACTCATCTCCAAAGAGAAGATTTCGCTGCCGGCAATAGATGTGAATGGAGTATCTGCGCCCAACGACTGAGCCATGCCTGTAAAACGACATTGATCACGTGATTAGTGTTTAGTGTTAGTGATTAGTGTGAAATATTGTTTTTTTATTACGTTCGACGTTCGCCGTAATAACTAAAGAGATACATTCAACTCTCGCTATTATGGACACCCTCGGGACCGTAATTTAGTGTCCGAAGTCACTGTCAGTCATTTCTTTGTATTTTTGGCCGGGATTCAGTATTTCGTTTCCGTAATATCGAGGTGTCCGTAATATCGAGGTGTCCGTAATATCGGGGTGTCCGTTCTAGCGGGGTGTCCATAAGGCGAGAGTTGATTGTAATGCTATCTGTTATAGGATTGTGAACACATTATGATTGACAGGATAAAAGAAACACGAATAACTTAGTCTATCCTTACCCATAGCAATAGCTGTTTTGCCAGTACCAGGCTGACCTGCAATAAGCACCGCTCTACCTGCAATTTTACCATCCTACAAAAAAAAAACATGACGATACATTGTCACATATTAACACACCATTTCACATGAAAGAAAAACAAGGAGACACCAGCCCATAAACAGGAACAAAAAAAATATATTACAGTATTACTACTGTATCTCAATTTGCTCTGCAAAAATCGCAAGTGTAAACGGGCCTTAAGGCAACATAGACCGGAGAAAAATAGAATTCAGCCAATTAGATCACGCCATTTATTGACGTCCAGGCTCCAATAAACACGGTCATATCATAAATGACAGTAATAGTCACCTTGATCATTTCCAGGATGATGCCAGCAGCACGCCTGGCTGTCACTTGTCCAACCATSCCTTGTGATACCTACAACAAATTACCGCACGGTTACCGCACAGTTACCTGCACAATTTTTGTGAAGCAAAGAGACACTAGAATTTGGTTACAGTACGATTACGGTTACAGTGCAGTACCGTCCGTTTCCAACTCATGCGAAATTGACTCTATGCTGTTAGCCATCAGGTATGTGACAGGTGCAATTTTAAAATCTTCACATAAGGTGCTTTGCGACGGATTGGATGGTCGGGGACTCCCCTATATTTGCTGGTTTAATGGTTAATATATTTGCTGGTTTAATGGTTAATATATTTGCTGGTTTAATGGTTATTATGGACTTTGAGCATCAAAGCAATGTCTTTCAGTTTACAAGTTTAGGTATTTTAAAAATACAATTAAAGTGATGTCAATGTAGACTCATTATACGTTCACTTTTGTGAAAATAATAAAACTTGTGATTTGAATTCCGAAGCAAAATGCCAATGTTATTTTCTTTTATCATATTAGAATTATCAATGAATACCTACTTTTCTTTCTGTCAAAAAGTTGATATTTTCGCTGCGCTCACTCATACGGTCTTTTGAACACTTTTGATAAAATCCGTATCCCTGCGCGACCATACAATATCCTCTATTTATCYTATTACAATTATCTATAATACCTAATACATTTCTTTAAAAAAGTTGTTATTTCCACTAGTGAAAATAACAAATTTTGAGGTATCTCCATATATTGGAAGTAAAAAAATGTAGCTTTTGGTAATTTGCTTTCATATATAATTTTTTGATAAACAGAATATTACATGGTCACTTGGAGAAACGAGTTTTATCCTATCATGTTGAAAATCTGCCACTCGTTCGCTAGTACGCTCACTCGTGAGAGATCTTTTCATCACTCAAAAATAAATTCCTTATCTTCACACTCCCATGTAACAGGCTCGTAAGCTTAAAAAGTCCGGTGTTTCTCTATTTTTATTATTCTATTTTAAACTTCTTTAGTTATGGACTGTTTTTGCAAATTGTTATGAACTGCTCATACTAGCAGCCAGTTCTTACACACTATACTATGCATTGAACTAATTTACAGTGTAGTTGTATAGTTTACAACATGAGCGGCCGTGTTGTATGGGAATTACAATCTCAAGCCGCAGGCGAGAGAATGTTCTAAACAAATGGTCTAAACAAATGTTCTAAACGAATGTTCTAATAAACGAATGTTTTATTAATCAGTTCTATATCAGATATAAAGAACTGATGTTGAAGGTCATCAGCGCTTTATTGCAACCCAACACTAGCAAAGGTCTCAGTTTTAATGTTGCATGATAGACCTTTGCTAGGTTTTAAATCAGTTTGAATCAATGTGCAGATATGCAGTATAGCATAGACTAGCCGTTCTTACGTGTGGGATCAAAATTCTTTCATTTGTGGCAAATGCACATGCTCAGTAGAAGTTTAACATGCTGATGCATAATCTCTGTTTTCGCATATTTTAGCTTTTTTCTAAAATGATAACAATTTCTGGATGTAGGAGTTCTAGAAGTAGTGTACAAAACTCGCAGTCGTGCTTTATCGGGGATATAGACACTTGGTCTTTGGCCTTGTGTCTATATCTCCCCATAAAGCACTCCTGCTCGTTTTTTAAACACTACATAAAACTCCAACACTAATTAACATGAATTACAGTGAGATAAGTGACGAAAAATGACAAAGTCCCTATTAAGCACGCATAATTTACTGCAGCACAGAACATTTTGAATTATAATTATCCATCCCACATGGAAAGCAAGCCATCTGTTGCATAAGGGAGTTCTGTTATRRYTCTTTGATTGCTTCAAAACCTAGTGAAGGTCTATGATGCGATACTAAAACTGAGACCTTTGCTAGTGTTGGGTTGTCTCAATGGTGACGACCGTGTTGTAAATCTGATACAACACTAGTGTTTACAAGGTCAATCACCTGATTAAATGCACAGACCTTATTGGAGTAGTAGCTCATGCATTATTAATAAGTTGTATAAAAACATTTATTTAGGTCCGCCTAAACATTTGTAAGGCCGCCTACCTATAATTTACCCTTTTCTCCCCATAATTTTGCTTTTTTCCGTGAAAAATTCCAACATGCCTTAGTTTATAGTTTTATTTTTTTGTTATTATTTTAGCAGAT